TCGTTGGCCCTCTTGGGCGTCCTTGGCTTGATAGAAACCCAAACCACATCCCCACCTGCCATTCCAGGTGCCTTGTTTATCCAAGGAGACCATCTCAAGAAGGTGGCTGGAAGCATCCATCCAGAACTCCAGTAGAGCAAGGATCCTGGACTAAGTTTCTCGGAATAAAAATCATTTTATGGTTTGTGAACAGGACTGCTCTGTGTTCAGGCAATTGCGTGGCTTAAGTGCAGGACCTTCTCACTTCCCCGAGCTCGCTCCATGGACAACCAAGTGTTGGATTTCAGCCGTGTGATGAGTGGCCTGTGTTAGGGATACACCCTAGCAGAATCTGCACAGCAGTCAGTCAGGCAGGCAGGCAAAATATGTGAGATAAACGTTTTTTGTAGCTTACACTCAGTAAAACAGATACACAGTGCTAATTAAATAGTTTATTCCAATAAGAGTTATAGCATAGTCAAAACAGTCCATATATTATCATTCACTAGTTCAGTCCGTCCAGGGATTATTCAGTTGCAAATTCCAGTGTCGAAAAAGAGAGGTCAGTAAACTTACAAATATCAGTCCAGTAATATATCTCCTTGCAGTAGAGATATGAAGAACTCAAAAACTCCTCTCTTCCTTCAGCAACTCAGCAGTAGGGGAAACACGTAGTTAACAAACCATCAATCCATACAATCCAATAATTGTCAGCGAATCGTCAGCAATCAATCAGGTTCTCTTGCTCCCTCTTATGGTGGTTTCACACCACACCCAAAATTACATGCTTTGCAGTTTTAAAGTGACACACACTTAAACTTACAATCATAGTTTATATATATTATTTTACCCAAACTACGTTAGGTAACCTATGTTATTCCTAACAGCCTGTAAACGTAATAAATAAATATAAATAAACTAAAGCCAAATTTTGCTTGGCAGATGGAAACCCAGCAGGCGGATGAGTAGCTCCCTCAAATGCAGGCTAGGGGTACATGAAAGATCTCTGGGGCTGTCTTTCTTTATCTTGGACTCTCCTGAACAAACTCACCATAATTTTCATAGAATCCTGGGGCTGGAAGGGACCTTTGAGGTCTTCTAGACCAACCCCTGCCAAAGGCAGGGATCCTTATACCACTCCAGTCAGGTGGCTGTCCAGTCTCTTCTAAAAAAACCTCCATCGCCAGCTTCTGGTGGCAGGCTGTTCCACTGGTTAATTGTTCTCACGGTCAGGAAATTTCTCCGTATGGTCGCTTCTCTCCTTCACCGTACACTTGAGTATAGAATACAGAATAACAGAATTGGAAGGGGCCTTAGAGGTCTTCTAGTCCAACCCCCTGCTCAGGCAGGAAACCCTATAGCAACCAGGTCAAATACTTGCCCAATCTCTTCTTAAAAGACCCCAGTGACGGAGCGCTTACGATTTCTGGGGGCGAGCCCTTGCTCTGGTTAATTGTTCTCACCGTTAATAAATTCCTCTTTAGTTCCAGGTGGGTTCTCTCCCAGATCGGTTTCCATCCATTGCTTCTTGTCTTCCCTTCTGGTGCCTTGGAGACTAGGAACAGAATCTAGGAAAATAGTACAGTTAATAGATGATCAAGGCCAAATGTGTTATGGTAATAAGGAGAAAAAGATAATTATCCAAGACTTTTATGGACAATTATATAAACAGGAGGATTTTGATGAGGAAAGAATTAAGCTTTATCTACAAAATGCTAACCTACCCAAGATATCTGAAGAGACTGAAAAAATGTTAGAAAGTACCATAACAATGATGGAACTAACGGAAGCACTTAATAGGCAGAATAATGGAAAAGCACCAGGCCCAGATGGGCTCCCGGCAGAATTTTATAAAACATTACAAGAATCGTTTGAGCACTCCATTGTTAGAAGTTATGAATGAAGCCATGTTAAATAAGAAAATACCCAAAACATGGTCAGAAGCTTATATCACACTTATTCCAAAAGAAGGGCCGATCCATCACAAATTAAGAACTATAGACCTATTTCTTTACTGAATGCAGATTACAAAATCTTTGCTTCCATCTTGGCAGAAAGGCTCAAAAGATACCTAAATAACTTTTTATTCATCCATCCATTTCTTCTTGTCTTCCCTTCTGGTGCCTTGGAGAATAGGTGGACCCCCTGTTTTCTGGTGAGATCCCCTCAAGTATCAGAAGACGCTATCAGGGTCTCCCCCGGTCCTTCTCTTCCTTAGGCTAAACGTACCTAGTCCCCTTAGCCGTTCGGCGTATGATTTACCTTAATGAAAAATATTGTTTTGCTGGCTTTCGGTTCTGATAGAAATGCAGCTCCCTGGATGACCCTCCAGTTTGGCCAAAGCCCTTTGACAGCCTGGCAAAAACGCCAGAGCCCAAGTCAGCTGGTGGTGGTTGTGGTCATCTGGTGGGAGGGAGGGAGCGGTTTAAGGAAGGTCCTTCTCGTTTGCCAAGCTTGTGCTGAGATTTTCCTGGGCTGTTGAGCCCCCCTGGAATAGTTTATAGCGGGGGGGTCCAACTTTGGCAACGTTAAGACGTGTGGACTTCAAATCTCACAATTCCCCAGCAAGGGAGGGAGGGAGGGAATTAGGAAGGATAGGAGAGGGAGGAAGGGGAAGAAGGAAAGAAAGACAGGTGTGTGTGTGTATGTGTCAGAATTCCAGCAATCACCCTAATTAAATCACGAGCCTTGAGCCAAGTTGAAAAACTTCGAAGGATTTATGAGGAGCGACGTACTGTGGCATGATCTGTGTGAAGCCGACTCTGAGATTGCGGAGGGAGGGTTAGGAAAGGGAAGAAGGCATAAAAGGCATAAAAGAAAAGTATCAACCCATAATAACGAGGTAGAGATATAAGTAAAAAACAGGTGTGGTTATAGGACACAAAGTTAGGGTTAGGAAAACAAAAGAAGACCTTGCAAACTGTTAAAAGAAGAATACTTTTAACCTTGTAACCTCCTCCTTTCTTTCTTCTCCTTTTCTCTTTTTCTTTCCTTCCTCAAAATTCTTTCCCTCTCTGCCTCTCCTCTCTTCTTTCTTTTGCTTATTTGCGTATGTATTGTGACTGGTTTTAATTGTAAAAATTAATAAACTATTTTTTTTAAAAAAAAAAGGAAAGGGAAGAAGGAAGGAAATAAGGGATGGATGGATGGATGGGGAAGGAAAATGAGGGATAGGGTGGAGGGAGGGATAGGAGAGGGAGGAAAAAAGGAAGGGATGGAGAGAACCTTGGCCACTTTAAGCCTGGGAGGACTTCCAAAATTCCCCAGCTAGCTTTCCTGGGAGTTGAAGTCCACCAGGCTTAAAGTGGCCAAAGTTAGAGACTCCATTCTAGAGAAAAAAGGGATCGTCAGAAGTCTGATTTTTTGAAATCAGCAGCCTTCCAACATGGTCTCCCAGCCACGGGGCACAAAGAACCCTGTTGAGATTATCATTGGTAATAAAGAGCCATTCAAAAACCAGCATCCAGTAAAAAAAAAAAATTTTTTTTAAAAAGCTATACATTTGGGGGGGGAAAACACAGCCAAACGAATTGATACAGAAGTTTATTTTTTTTTCTTTCCTGGAAAACAAATAGATCAGCTTCTAACGCCGCAATTTTTTAAACTTGGTTTTATTTTCACCTGCATCTATCTGTCCGTGTGGGAGAGAGAGAGAGAGAGAGAAAAAAAAGAAAAGAAAAGAAAGATAAATCTTTAATAATGACCTGGAGGCACGACGGACCATCTGTCCGAATTGTTCCTATAAAAATAGCATCAGTCTCTAAGAGAAGCTTCATTAACAAATTGATCCGGGCACCCAAGGACGCCTTTGGCTTTGATTGCAACGTATCAGGACGGGTTTTTCTGTTGCGCGCGGTGGATCAATTCACGATGCCGAAAACGCTTCTGGGCGGGCCGTCCATCGCACACGCGAGTACAAAATACAGAATAACAGGAGTTGGAAGGGACCTGAGAGGTCTTCTAGTCCAGCCCCCCTGCTCAAGCAGGGGATCCTATACTATTTCAGACAAATGGCTGTCCAGTCTCTTCTGAAAAATCTCCAGCATTAGAGCATTCACAACTTCTGGAGGCAAGTTGTTCCCCTGATTAATCGTTCTAACTCTCAGGAAATTCCTCCTTAATTCCAGGTTGCTTCTCTCCTTGATGAGTTTCCACCCGTTGCTTCTTGTCCTGCCTTCTGGGGCTATGGAGAGTAGCTTGACTCCCTCTTCTTTGGGGCAGCCCCTCAAATACTGGGATGCTGTGCTATCACGTCCCCGCTAGGCCTTCCTTTTATGAAACCAGACATACCCAATTCCAGCAACCGATATTCCTACATTTTATCCTCCAGTCCCCTAATCATCTTCGTTGCTCTTCTTCTCTGCACTCTTTCAACATCTCTTTTTAATATTGCGGTGACCAAAATTAGATGCAGCACAAACACATATACCACAGTGGAGCAACTGGGCCCTTTCTCAGTTGTGTAGTTCAGGGTTTTGGGGGTTGTTCATTTTTTTTTTCTTTTTTGCAATATGCAGATGTACACTGGCAAGAGGAGAGAGACTATATCGCCATGGTAACAGAGATGTAGCTGTTTTGACCATACAGGTAATCATCAACTTACAAGAGTTCATTGAGTAACCATTCAAAGTTACAACAGCCCTGAAAAAGGGGGATTTTTATGACTGTTTTTCACACTTAATAACTGTGTTAGCATCCCCATGCTAAAAGGGCAATCTATTCTAGCACTGGTGATGTTCCCTAGTTGGAGAACATCAAGGATCCCTCCTCCTCCTCCTCCTCCTCCTCCTCCTCCTGTCCAAAATAGAACACTGATTATGTTACCTAGTTGGGTCATGTAACGTCTACAAGAAAACAATTAAGCTCAGAGAGTACCCAGGACCCCACAGTCTTCCTTCTCAGTCCTTCTCTGTCACTGCTTCCTCTTCCTCCTCTCTTCCTCTTCCTCCTCCTCCTCCTCCCTGCAAACAAACCACACTCCTTTCTAGCACTGATGATGTCACCTAGTAGGGTCACAAGACGCCTGCAAAGAAAGCACCAAGCTGAGAGAGCACCAAGGGCCCCCAGTTCTCCTCCTCCTCCTTTCCCTTCTCTTTCTCCTCCTCTTCCTTCTCCTCCCCCTCTTCCTTATCTGTCTCCTCCTCCTCCCCCGTTTCCTCCTTCTCTTTTTTCTTCTTCTCCCCTTCCTCCTATTCTAGGAGCTGG